CGCCTAAGATGATTCTTACCTACTATCTAGTTAGTAAATAACCCTCACCCTCCCTCCCCACCCTTGTAACCATCAAAGAACGTTTTCTTCTGTGTTTAAACCTTTTCTTGAGTTCTTATAATCGTGGTTTATACAATATCTGTCCTTTTGTGGCTGACTAAATTCACTCAGCATAATGATATCCAGCTTCCTCCATATTATGTTTCTAGGCTTCATCGTTGTTCTTTATCGTTGTGTAGTATTCCATTGTGTAGATATACCATAATTTGTTTATCCATTCATCCGTTGATGGGCACCTAGGTTGTTTCCATCTTTTTGCTACTGTGAACAGTGCTGCAGTGAACATGGGTGTGCGTGTTATCTATTCATGTGACAACCCTTATTTCTCTAGGATATATTCCAAGGAGCGGGATAGCTGGATAGTATGGTACTTCTATTTCTAGCTTTTTTAGAAAGTGCCAAATTGATTTCCAAAGTGGCTGTACCATTTTACATTCTCACCAACAGTGTATAAGTGTTCTAGTCTCTCCACAACCTCTGCAGCATTTATTATTTTGTTTTTTGGATTGATGCTAGCCTTGTTGGGGTGAGATGATTTCTCATTGTAGTTTTGATCTGCATTTCTCTAATGGCTAATGATCATGAGCATTTCTTCATGTGTCTGTTAGCCACCTGAATATCTTCTTTGGCGAAGTGCCTGTTCATATCCTTTGCCCATTTTTTAATTGAGTTATTTGTCTTTTGGTTGAGGTTTTGTAGTCTCTTGTAGGTTTTAGATATTAGAGGCTGATTGGATTTGTCTTAGCCAAAAATTTTTTCCAAGTCTGTTGGTTGCCTTTTTACTCTTTTGTTGAAGTCTTTTGATGAGCATAAATGTTTGATTTTTAAGAGCTCCCATTTATCTAGTCTCTCTTCTGGTGCTTGTGCGTTGTTACTTATGGTTCGTATTGTGTTTATGCCATGTATTAGAGCTCCTAGTGTTGTCCCTATTTTTTCTTCCATGATCTTTTTCGTTTTCAATTTTATATTTAAGTCTTTGATCCATTTTGAGTTATTTTTTGTGCATAGTGTGAGGTATGGGTCTTGTTTCAGATTTTTGCAGATGGATATCAAGTTATTTCAGCACCATTTGTTAAAGAGGCTGTCTTTTCCCCAGTTAGCGGACTTTGGGCCTTTGTCAAGTATCAGCTGCTCATAGGTGGATGAATTTATGTCTGGATTCTCAATTCTGTTCCATTGGTCTCCGAATCTGTTGTTGTACCAGTACCAGACTGTTTTGACTACCGTGGTGGTATAATGGGTTTTAAATCAGATAGTGTGAGGCCTCCCACTATGTCCTTCTTCTTGAGTAATGCTTTGCTTATTCGGGGCATCTTCCTTTTTCATATGAAGTCGGTGATTTTTTTTTCTATCTCTTTAAAAAATGCCGGTGGAATTTGGATTGGGATTGCATTGTATCTGTAGATCACTTTGGGTATAATTGACATTTTCACAGTGTTTTGTTTTGATATGCCCAGATAGGCTGCTCTTATTCGGTAGGTTGATTATTGGGACCTTTGCAGCTCTAATGTCCTGTCACCAGGCGTTTAGATCTGTTACTAGGTATGTGAGCTCAGGAGTCTGCCCACTCCTGCTGTATGGGTTCAGCTCAGGTGCCCAGGTAGTTAGCCACCAAGTGTGTGGTGTAGGCTCTCACTTTACAGTCCTAGAAAGGCATGGGTGTTTGGTGTAGACACAGGTATCTGTCTGCAACAGGAGGACACACTCTGAGCGAGGCAGGGGGCTGACAGCCGCCCCCAAGTGTCTGGGAGGAAAGCATGTCCCTGTTCCCTAGAGCACGTAAGTGGGTGGGTTTTGCAGCTGGACTGTGAGCACCTAATGCTGTTATCTGTAAGGACTGGGGTGCATCTCTTATTCGTGGGCCCCTATCACAGGTGGCTAGGTGGTGTGGGTGGAGCCACCAGTCCTCAGGCCCCTGATGTGGGTAGGTGAAGACCCCGCTTAATGGGCAGAGCAGTGTCAAATGTCGGGAACCTGCCACTTCACAGCTGAAACATTTGAAGTTAGACTTCTAGTATATACCCTGTTGTACTGCAGTAATGAGGGCGTACGGTGTTGAAATGGGCCCACACAGGTCTTTGCAGGGGAAAGGCACTCAAAGTCCATGGATCCCTTATGCCTGTGCCTAGGCAAAGGAGCTGTGCCTACCCTGAGTTCCTGGCTTAAGGGAGCTGGCAGTTTATTTTTTCCCGTTTGTTTAATTGGTTCACTCTCCAAGGCCAGGAGAATGGCTCCGGGCATGTGATGGATCCTACTTCCAGCCCAGGGGACTCGGCAATCGCTGAAGCCAGTCCAGGACCCAGTGCAGAGCAGGGAGCAGGGAGGTAAATGGGAGAGAGGTTTTTCCCTAAGGGGGGTGGTTTTGATCCACGCGATAGGCCGTATGCAATTAGTTATGTTTTGCTGGATTGAGGGCTGCTTCTCACTGGTTCTGGGTGGCCCTGTAGACTCTCTGGTGCTGAGTCTCTCCTGGTGCGGAAAACACACCTCCTGAGCACGCTGCTTGCCTCCCTCACCGTTCACTCATGTGCTGCTCAGGCTCTCGCCAGGTCAGGTCTGGCAACTCCTCACTGCTTCCGAACAGTCTCTCCCTCCCGCTGCCACTCAGTCCATCCTCAACTCTGCCTTTGATGTTCATAGCTCCCAGATTGCCACATATAATCGAATCACTTGTTTTTTCGGGTCTTTGTTGTAAGAGGGTCAACCGGAAGTGTCTGACTACTCCGCCATCTTGGCCCCCGCCTCTCGCTTCTCTCTTTTATATCTCTTGATTGCCTCAAGACAGAATCCAATCTTGTAGGTTGAGTCCTGCATCACTAACACAACTGCCGCCCATCCTTCCTCATTAACATCATAGAGGCAGGATTTACAACACATAGGAAAATCACACAATACCGGGAATCATGGCCCAGCCAAATTGATACAGATATTTTTGGGGGACATAATAATTCAATCCATGACAAGTACCTACTGTATGATTTCATTTATATGAGATTCTACGGCAGATAAAACTAATCTTGATAGAAATCAGCTGAGTGGTTACTTGGGGGGATGGCTAGGAAAAGGGACAGGACA